TCGTCACGAATTCGAGAACTTGAAAGTAACCTATAATATTACCGCCTACATCACCTTTCCCTCAATATAAAACCAACCATTTTCGAGATTACTAGGAATAAGCACGTCCTTGCGAACAGACAAACAAATAAGAATTATTTTTTGTTATCTACAAAATAAGTCCGTACCTCTTTTTTTACTTCTTCCTTAAAGGTCGCATCTGCGCATTGCAGATGTCCTGATATTATGATTAAAAAGCAGCACAAATACATGTTCATGAGACATATTTTACAGACACACCAATTTTATTACATGTATAGATTTGATCATAATCTTATGACTTGGACCAATGTTGTTCTCCCTAGCGTCTCGGTGCGACTTCGTTAACGAGCCCCCGCTAACAAACTACTCCGGACACGTACATTTGTTTCACTGCACGTTTACATTGCACTGTACTGACTGCAAATATACCTCATCAATGATAATATACTAAATACTTTGTCTATGGTCGTATCTATAACTAACTGTTCCCATGCGACTTCATCCGCAGGAAATTATGAAAATTTTATTTTATTGTTTACATTTGTCAAATTATCAATTACAAATGTCAAAATGACATGACATGATGACAACCTTGCTTCCTTGATATTGACAGTAACTTATGGTCTCTTTCCCACATTAGAGTTTTTATCCAAAATATTTACCCCCTAAGTTAAATGGTGTTAAAATATATTGCCTAAAGCGTGACGCAAGGGTAGGGCTTTTTATTAAGAACAGAATTATTCAATAATGTGCTGTAACTGCTGATATCTTAGGCAACAAGAAAGTGTGTGTTTACGCTTTATTATAATAGTATAGATGACAATATACACATACTTCGTCCTTTTCATTTTCTTTGAAAGAAACAGGGATAACAAATTATGGATCTTTTAATAAATGAAATTAAGATGTAAAAGGTTTTTTTTAATCCTAATTACATCACAAAGGTGACATTTCGCTATTTGATACGGAATGTCGTCCATTTGTGTGGTGTATGTGTTTTCGCTGTGAGGTGAGTGTGTGTGTATTGTGCAGTGTGATTTTACTAGTCTTAATTCTATTCTAGAGAACCAGAGAGCAAATTCTGACTGAGCCAGTGCTATTTAATATCTTTATTCGGTCCACAATGTGGCAGGCGAATTCCGAAAAAGATTTGATTAGTGATTTTTTTTTGTTAATTCAGGAAGATGTAAAAGGTTGACTTAGAGCGCGCTAACTGTTATGCGATTGTCGATTATTTCGCAACTAAATCGAGTAGTGTGCGGACCTCCAATAAGCTCATAGAAAGCGAGACTGAACAGTTGTGCGATAATTTAGTTTCAGGTGTGCGCACGCTCTATGTCATGTCTTCCCTGTCATGTATTCGAGAGTCGATATTTCCTCGATTCTATTTCAAGACAGACTTACGCATTCACATTTGTATACTTGACAAAATATTATTTCCACAATTTTGCACAACGAGATTCGAAGATTTGACAGCAGATAAAGTAATACCGTAGATTTCCATTGCCAGATACATCTGCGCAAAGATTATCTTACTAATATAAATGCGAAAGTATATTTGTTAGAGTTTTCTTAACATATAGGTTACTATTGTTTTTTTGTAATTCCGCGCGAATGGAGTCACCAACGAAAGCTGGTTAGGGATAGAGTTAAGAACGTGTATATTAGAGGAAGTTTGAAAGGAGCGCTAGTGGTAGAGAAATTGAGAAGCGTAAGGTTAGCGTGGTTGGAACATATAATGAGAAACGACGATCACATATGAGCCAGAAGTATTAAGATTGAATATGTATAGCTACAAAGGTAAAGGAAGATTGAAGAAAGTGTGTATGGAATGCGTGTAAGAGTGCTTAAGGGGGTGAATTTAAATATGATGGCTGGAGATGTATGGAAGAGCAGCACTGTGCCGACCCTCTATAGAGATACGGTCGATGAACTTTTATTGCATTAAAAAAAAGTGATAACTACATTAATGCATAAGAAATTGTAGTGACTCTTTGTTTTCCTGTCTTACGTTTATCAAAGTTTTTACTAAAGAAAATTAATTATTAAAAATCAATTTCACACATGAACAGTTTTAATTCTATAAACTATTACGATTTTAAAGCCCATATTGATGAGAGAAATAACCTCTAGGCTTTTGAGTAGTCAACAGGTCGGAAATACATTTACGTCCGAATTAATTAAATGGTATGGACTTTATAAAATAAGGATTTTATACTATCTACTCTTTTCTGTTATATTAATATATTTTTCAGATGTTTTTTTGCGTTTGTGCAACAATATATATATTATTAATAATAGCAACACCATCGTTTACGTCAAACGACACAAAAACCAAGATGGCGGACCCGCGAAAATATTTAAAACTAAAACCCGATGCTTGCAAATGGTGCAATATGAAAGAATACGTGGAAAAGTTAAAGAAACAAAATCAAAAGCCTAGAAACAAAAAAATAACGAACAGACCACAGACAAAATTTGATTTCTATAATCCATACCACGGTTCTGCACATGTCGATAATATCGAAATGAATTTAGGCAGAGAATTCTTATCGGAGATATTGAATAAATTGCCACAGAATAAATATACTTTGAAGTATTATTTTGTCTTTTTTTGTTACATTTTTATTTATATTTGTATAAAAATATCAAAAAGGGGAATAATAGATAATTACGTACTAACAAGTATAAATCCTCACTACATTGTTTAGCAAAATCGCTTTCCGCTGTCTGTCTGTATACTTAGATCTTTAAAATTACGCAATGGATGTTGGTGCTTTTTTATAGATAGACTGGTTCAAGAGGAAGGTTTTTTATGTTTAAAATATTATAGAAATACTGATGATTTTATAGCTTTCTAATGAGATGTGAATAAACACATTTTTGTATCAGCATTGGACACGCGAGAATTAGAGCCAGTGTTGTTTAACTTGTTACCGACAGCGCGGCAGCCAAAAATACAAAACACTTTTTATAAAACAAACATATCTTTATTTAAAACTTATTTACACAAAAAATATACAAAAAACTTAAAACTCTGTTGATCTCATTCTTGACTTCTTCTTTTACAAACGATTATTGCCTTGGTGGCCAGTATGCAACCTCTTTGGCTGTATAAATACTGCTTGTCAGCCAAAGAGGTTGTATTTTGCACTCTACAAGTGTCTTTATTAAAAGATTTTTATTTATGAATTAAATCGTAACATATAACTTATTCCATTAACTTGCAAGATAATTAAAATTACACAGTTAATTTACTTTTGAATATTAATGGCATATTAATTAAAAGTGTACTTTCTCCAAACAGTAGTTATAAAAATGTTCATACAAACAGACTTAAATTTAAAATTATGTTTAGTTTTTATATTATATTTTGCAAATTTAATATCAAATTTAGAAATAGAAAGAATACACGATCCATTTGAGACGAAAATTGCGAAGAAATTAATAAAATATATTGACGAAAAAGTGAAAGAATTACCACATACTGATGTAAAAAATGATGTAAGCGAAGATATATTTAACAATGATAATAATAATAGTATTCAAAGATTTAATCAACAAAATAAAGGTATAAACCAAGTATTAGTAAAAAGCATCATACCACACGAAATGAAAACGTTCGGAAACTATTTTGGTAAAACTTTTTACAGACCTTTAATAAGATTTCACAAAAATATAGATAATAAATATACAATCCATAGAAGCGAGAATAAAGGTTATTTTATCAACAAAAAAAATCAAACTAACCCGTACGCTTTTAAATTAATAAATTGGATGAACACAAAATATAATACTTTAAATTCTTATAAACAGAAATATAGAAATGTTGCAAATTACGTGAAAACTTTATACAATAATTTGGGATTTAATAAACATTTAAAGACACCTATGAATGATAAAATTAAGAAAATATTACGTTTCGATTTGTCTGATGAAAATAATTATGGCCAAAAAGGTTACTATCTTAACGTAAATCGTAAAACGACTACGGCGAAAAGAAAATGGCTGCCAGATTATCCGTTTTGGGGTTATTGGACGGTAAGAGATGAACAAACTGTCACGCTAATGTTACAAACTAACATATAATAATAAAAAAGAAAAGTAGCCTATGTTTTTAGAATATCCTCTACATTTATGCCAAACTTCATCGAGATTTAAGAGTTTAGAATGGAAACTCGTAAAAAACATCTTGGATCCATTTATAATATTAGTAAGATCAGACCAAATTTTCTCAAACTTGTCATAGGCCTGTTTTTAATTTCATTTGTTTAAATAGTGATCGTTTGGCTGCGAAAGGTCCTTTCCCTTGAAGATTTAAAAACTGTAAAATATGTATAAAAAATTACTTAGAACCTAGACCAAACTAAGACCAAGTATTTTACATTTTTGTACAAGATTTTGTGTGACCACAGATCATCAGTTCGCATAATTTCCTTTGAAAGAGGAATGTTTTCGCTTGTTAATTAATATATTGTTTTTATTTAGTACAAGAAAAGTATATATCAAGACGAATGCCCCGGGGAGACCATAGCCAGCGGGAGCATGTGCGTGTGGGTCCCTCCACACTAGACAGATGCAAACTACTTTTAAAATCCATTGAGTCTACAATAAACCATTATAAAAAGAACTATTGTTTTTTTAATTCCACTACACTGATTACATGCATGTCGGCAATTTAATTCTCGTTTGAAACAAGCATTCGTACCGTCATTTGTTTAAAATTTGTACAACGCCACCTATCGGACGTTAAAGACAACAATAAATCTCAAAGGAAACCGTCTATTATAATTGCGTATAGATGTAAGGATGGATGTTTGTTAGAGTTTATAACCTAAATGACTGAACGGATCTCGATGAAATTAGGCATGTATAGTACAGTCTGGAATAACACAGAGGCTACTTATCTTTTTTGTTTTTTTTTTTTAATTCCACGGGGGCAAGCTAGTTAATGAAAGGTAATATAAATAAAAGACATATTACGTTTTGCACTTTATTTGCTACACAGCCAGTGTTTAACGGTATAAAAACACATTTACTTCCTAAAAACTAATATTCGCTTACAACAGATCTTTATTGAAAAGTTAAAATATTTGTCATGGATGAAAATAATAGCTTATTTATTAAGTTATATAAGATCTTTGATTCTTAAGATGTAATTGCAATAATTAATTTACTTTTAAAACCTAATACATTGTAGTTTATGAGTTTTTTTGCTAATTTCCAAGCTATTTTTCCAGTTTCAAAATCTTGGATTTATTACAGCGCCATCTATTGTGGCATATCTAAAACTAAACAAGTCAAAGTATTAGTTCTAAAATGCTACAATAGATGGCACTGTAAAATAATCGTTCACTTAGTAGTAAAAACGAATTACAAAAATCTAGAAAGTTTAACATGAAAATTAACGAGAAAGTATTCGTAACGTTGACAAAGTATTAGATTTAACAGTACATTTCGTGCTCGTTGTTAATCTAAGAAAAAAATTCACAATTTAACATCTAATTTAAAAACTACTAAAATACGCTCAATTCAGACAATCTTTAACTAATCGACAATGAAAAACTTTAATAGTTTTAACATTTCAAATAATAATCATTCATATTTGTTAAAAAAAATGACAGTATTCAAAAAGCACATTTTTACAAGCATTTAATTTTTAAATTTGTTTAAAGAAATTTTCCTTTAATGTTTTAAAACAAAGATAATAATTTTCATAATCCATATAAATTAGTAGTAATTATAATACCGAGAATTAAAAAAAAAACGATTTTTTAACTGTCAGAACTGATTGTATAACATTTTATATAGTAATTTAGACAATATAATTATTCAAATGAGTACATAAGTAGGTGCAGTTTCCACACCACAATTATTATCTTTAGACGACATTAACACATAACCATCATTTCCCCACAAATTGGACCACGAATTCTTCACTAACCAGTATTTTTGACCATTTAAAATACCATAGCCCACCGCCAGGACCGCGTGGTCTAATTCATCTATTTTATTTTTACTGCAAACAAAATAAACACACTTTATTATAGAATATCAAATACAATATATTTTTCAATTATTATGTTCTTAATAGGGTTGTAACGGAACTGTCTCCGCATCCGCAAGTGCGGAACTTCCGCAAGTTGTTAACTCCGCATCCGCTTCCGTTATATATAATAAAAGAGGGCAAACGAGCGTGAACACCAAGGTGGTCAACGACGCCCATGGAACACCAGAGGAATTTTTCTTATGCGGAGTTATAACGGAGGGTAATTTACGTCTTTAAAGCGAGTGGGGTGATTAGGTATCGTTTATGTGGCCCGCGCGGGCGTCATATGTAACTCACTATATTTTTCATATATTATATTTGCATGTTAAGATTGAATGTGGATGGCTACAAAGGAAGAGGAAGACCGAAGAAAGTATGGATGGATTGTGTGAAAGAGGATATGCTTAAGAAAGGGGTGGATTCAAATATGACGGCTGATAGAGATGTATGGAAGAGCACATACTGTGCCGACCCTCCGTAAGGGATAAGGGCAAGTGGATGATGATATTATATTTGAATAATAAACTGTATCTTGTAATTAAGTACTAATCTGTATTTTGAGTTAACGTAGTTTTAGTTTTTATTTCTTTAATAAATCGCAAGTAATATTGACCTCCGCTTCCACTTCCGTTAACCTCCGCTTCTACAGAGGTGAAGCCCTTTACCTCCGCATCGTTAAAATGGCCTCTGTTACAACCCTAATTCTTAACTAGCTTTTGGTTTGACTTTATCCGTGTGAAAAATATAGCTTTTCCACCTTTCTTTGGTGTAAGAATTTTTAAAATGGCTTCAGTAGTTTTTGAGTTATTTCAATACAAAAATACATATCTTTTCAATATTATAATTAATTAGAATTTAATATAGATAAAGAATATTTACCATTTAGGCTCGTAATAAACTCCATGCGAGTAGAAACTAAAGGTCTTGTGGGATGCGTCAATCGCCACCGATACTGGACCATGTTTGAATATCGCCAACTAAAACATATTTAAACAATTAAAAACAAAAAAAAACCTTTAAATACACAAAATCAACATTATATAAGAAATTGTAATATACTAGCTTTCGCCCGCGACTTCGTCTGGGTGTAATTAAAACAAAAGTAAGTAGCTTATGTGTCCTTTGAGACTATCTTTTATATCTAGGGCAAATTTCATCGAAATCCGTTAATCCATTTAGGCTAAAAACTCGTAACAAACATCCATCCATCTAAACTTTCATATTTATATTAGTAAGATTTAAGTTCTATATGTCGTTCTCTTTCACTCATCATATATTTACATCTTGCATCTCTCTCATGTAACGAAATTGCAAATCATAATTTTAAATAAAAATTATTAAGTTTTCTTAATGAATTACTATACTATATTACATAAATACTTTAGTATTTAATCAATTTATGGTATTAACAACTAGCTTTTGCCCGCGACTTTGTCCGCGTGGAATTAAAAAAAAAGTTAGTAGGCTATGTATTCTTCCAGACTATCCTCTACTTAGCTAAATTTCATTGATATCCGTTCAGCAGTTTAGGCTACAAACTTTAACAAACATCCATCCATCATTTCGCATATATAATATTAACGAGCTGTTGCCCGCGACTTCGTCCGCGTGGTATTAGAAAACATACAAACTATATAAATTACAAAAAGCTACGTATCCCGGGAACTGGACATTTCTCGGGGATGAAGCTTATCCCATGTATACCCCAGACTTTGTT